ACTTATTTGTAATTAGAAATATTTCACAATTTATAATTATATATTGTTTTGTGATTAATCACTGCTTTAATTAAGTTAAATTTGTAACAATGAAAATACATCCTGCATATCAGATATTTACATTACGATTCTTAAGAGTAGCAAAATTACAGTTATGAAGTAGCAACAAAAATAATTTTATGGTCGGGGTGTCACCACAACATGAGGAACTGTTATTAAAGGACTGTGGCATTAGGATGGTTGAGAACCACTAGTCTAGAGCTACTCTCGGCACTTAATATCTCACACTGGGTATTCCACATAGAAAAACAGACAAAGTCCCACTGGGTGGAGCTTTCATAGTGCACATTTTTCCTGCTAGGCGAGTACGGAGGAACTCACTGAGTTTGTATACCCAGTGGTGTCTCCTGGGAAGGTTCTCTATGGACACAGAGAAATCGTTTCGTAAAAGCAGTTTCCTGAAGCCTTGTTTTTGGGGATGGCCAATTTAAGAGAACAGGGAGTGGCTGTCAAATATTGTTTCCTGCTCAGGAAAAATGCTGCAGAAACTGTTGTGATGTTGAACACCGCTTACAAGAACACCGTGATGGGAAAAACTCAAGTGTACAAGTGGTTTTCTCTTTCAAAAAAGGTGAAATATCAACAGATGACAAACCTCATTCTGGAGGTCTGTCAACTTCCCAAATAAACAAAAATGTCGACAAAATTCATGCACTTGTGCTCGAAGAATGACAACAAGGAGCCATTGAAGAGATGGGGAAGTTATCTGAACTATCTTGAAGCTCAGTTCAGCGAATTTTAACAGATTTGGGAATGAGAAGGTCGTTGAGAAATTTGTGCTTCAGGTTCTGACTGACCAGCAAAACTGGAGTGTAAGTTACCTCATCCTGGGTCACAAAACCTGCTGTGCTTTGAAAGAACAGCTCTGAAGCAACCTAGACTTTTTCCCCCAAGGTCATTACTGGTGACAGACATGGTGCTATTCTTTCCACCCTGAAAGCAAACATCAATCAAGCCAGTGGAAGACACCATTGCCACTTCACCCAAAAACAGCTTGTCAAGTGAAATCGAAGATCAAGGTGATGCTCATTGGTTTTTTTAATGTGAGGGAGATAGTGCATTTTGAGTTGGTCTACCAGGTCAGACTGTTTATCAAACTTTCTTATTTAGAGGTTCTGAAAAGATTATGTAACCGTGTGACCAAAAAAGGCCTGATTTGTGGCAGACGGGGCTGGTTTTGCCATTATGACAATGCAACTGCTCACACAGCCATCTCAGTGAACCAGTTTTTGGCAAAAAACAGCATGTCTCAGATGAAAAATACAACTTTCCTCTAGTTCCTAAATGTTTCCTCCCTGCTCCCACTACCATGACTAGAATTCGACCTTGCAAGGCTGGCTAGACCAGAGGATGGACACTGGTACAGATGGGAACTGGAAATACAGGTAATCCAGGGCAGATGAGTCCTACAGGACCAGTGGTGTGAGTGGTGATACTGGGAGGGTAGAGGGAGAGTGGGTAGGAAAGAGGGAACCGATTACAAGGAACTATATGTGACCT